CCAAAACTGATGGGATTTAAAATGTACTATGCTGTTTCCATTTGGTATCCTCAAAGATATCAGTTTTTAGCTTTTTTGGTAAAATGGAGACTTCTCTATGCAGGATAAACTGACAGCTGATAGCTGATGGAATTTAAAATGGAAGTCATCTATAATTTTAACAGGACCAAAGTTGCTTCTCTCTGCAGAATCAAATGAAGTTCTTTTTTTTTTTGTTTTAACGAGGCAAGTGTTTGAACTGAATTGTGAATGAGCTTTCCATATTGTGTAGATACACAAGCATTCACCATTTAAAGTGGAAATAGAGAATGGGTGGTGCAGGGTTTCTCAGAGTAGCAGAAATTAGAAACTGGCTTAAGGTTGAGATATTTGCTTGTTTGGATGAAGATAAAGGTCAAAATTTTCTGAGTTGCTTGCCATTGAGGAAAGTTCTAAGGTTAAGATATTGCTTTGGGAAAATTTACTGACAGTGAAAGGTAATTTAGATATTGTAAAAGTTATTAATTTAATTTTTGAATTATGAATTACATCGCAATTTCTGTCTTAATTTTTAATTATTATAATTGTATAGAAATATCATTAAATAAAATATAAAATCTTAATGACTAAATTGTAACTGAAACTAATTTTTACCAATTTTAAGATTGATATATGAGCAGTTCAAAAGGTTAGGATAAATTTCACAGCCAAATGCACTTTTAGGGATTTAATGTTTACTTAATCAGGTAATTAAATGTCGAATTTGCCACTAATTGTAATATACTTAATTAAAAAAATAATATCTAAATAATTATAATTTTATATTATTTTATTTTCGTTTTGTTTTTGATGAGACGGGGAGACCGTGACCGGGCCCGCCAAAATCATTCGGTGAAATTTAAACCATTCACGTGTCCACATGATTCATAGGCCGCCAACCTCCCCGTACATACGAGGATGTCTGTCCGACACGTGCCAGGCTGTCAATTTCTCAAAATTACCTGCGATGGGGAAAGGCGACAGCATTCTTGACACCGCAATACCCTATGAAAAGACATTTCCACCCTTCCCAAATCCCCTACCTTCGTTCACTCAGCCTGTAAATTCCAGAATTGTAGAGGTCAAAACTGTCTTTTCGTAGAGATGTTATTTTGAACATTTTCAAAATAAAAATTGTCTCTTTCATCTGCCATCATCCCTGCCGTACCTCTCATTTGTATTTTCTTCTCAGTCTCCCTACGCAGACAGGGAAAGTTGACAGCATTTTCTTGTTTGGCTCGACGAGGAAAAGAAAATGGCTGCAGGAAGGAGAGCTGTCTTCAGGTTTTGGATCTTCGTGCTCATTCTAATGGCGGTTTTTTTGCCATTAGCTCAATCGTCTCGTCCCCGTGAGCTCCCTCCCGGTTTTCTTCTTCTTCTTATTTAATGTCTTCACGTAAGAAAAACTGGTTTGATGCTCCGTGTGTTTCTTGCAGAATACCCTTTAAATGGCGGTGGAGTAAGAGTAACAAAGGAGAGTACGCAAAAAATCACAGAGGGTCTGTCTGTCTGTGTGTATCTATAGTGTGCATATATAATGTATACAACCGTGAAAAGAAACAAAAAAAAAAAAAGATTACTTTTTTGCCCCAAATTTTTCTCTTTTGTATTTTTTTCATCATGGGTCTCATTCTTTTGTTTTTTAACAGAAGGAGTTTCATAAGATGGAAGAGGCAAAGAGATTTGACGACAGAGCTAGCTTTGTAATGGAGAAAAGAAAGGTTCCCACTGGACCAGATCCTCTTCACCACAATGATAACCCTACTGGTCCTTAACTCTCTTTACTTCATCAATGGTTAGCTAGCTACTGATCCTTCTTCTTCCCTTGTTTTTGGAGAAACTGATATGTGGGTTATCGAGTTCTTTTCGCATATTCTCTTGTAGAAAAAATTTTCATGTTCATATATTATCAGACTTCAATTTTCTTTCATTGTTTATGGCAATCTTCTCTCTTCCACTCTCTGTCTTTTTCTCTGGTTGGAATTTTCAAAAAAAAAATAAATGTTTTTTTTTGTCAAAGATATAAATAATACAATTTTCACTTATTTTTTATTTTCTTCCATAATTAAATGCCGTATAAATAAATGGCAGATATTTACAGTAAATATTATATATATATATATATATATATATAAACTAAAGAGCAAAAAAGAATCATTGCCGTTTCTATATTTGTGTAGATTGTGACATATAACCGACGAACCCACTTCTTGTTTGTGGGTTTCCGCTTCCATTCATTATTTGTGACAAAAATAGTTCCGGCCACCTCTTGCTTGGAGATATCCAAGAACCAAGTCAAGTTACAAACTTACAAATATATACATACACACCACACACACATATATACATAATCAAATAATTTGATGTGCAATTTTCTTAATTAAGTGTACTAAAAATTAATCAAGTGAATTAATAACATTATTAGAGATTAATATATTTGTAATTGAAGGTTGATCACTAGAATTTTGAATACACCATATTGATATGTAGACATATATATATTATATTATATTTACAACAATTTTAAACAAAGGTACGATATATAGTTAGTGTGGAAGAATCTTTACCAAATATGCTGTATTATAAAGCATGGTGTGAAATATCTAACTTAAATATCTTAAGAAATGATGGTAAGCATATGAGAAGATATTTTGCTCATGCGAATGTCCAAACAAACACTTGGTATATAATAATTGGTTGTTAGGTACCATCGAAGAACTAACACACATGATTATAAATATGGAATCGACAACGATATGACTTTTTTATTTAAAATTTATTTATTTATATGTATAACTAAATTTAGTAGATATTAAATTACATATGTATTTGAATATATTAATTTTATATTATGAATAAAAACACTTATTTTTCTTTTTAAATTTGTGTTATTTTATGTTCTAATTATACATATAAATATATTGAGATAATTTTGTTAG